CTTTTCCCACAAGGAAAAAGAAAAGGCATACAACTATTCCGTTACTTTTCCTTAGGCCAGCAAAGAAAGTATAACCCTGTTGATGACAGGACTAGTCTAAGAAAACTCTCAGCTAATAGGTGACAAACAAGAAAAAAATAAAGCTATGTTCTGCAAGGTGTTTGAAGGCAGACAACATCCTATGAAACTGCCCCATCTTGAAAATGTTTGGCCAAAGTTTTTATCTATTCAATTCAGTAGAGCATTGATTTGACAAGTGTTAACCAGAAGCTGTGCTCTAGGTTCTAGCAGTTGGATTTTCTGTTAAAATTAGTTGCTTTTTTATCCATATGCTTTTAGGACCCTTCCACCCATGTTCCTTAGATTCTAAGAAGCATCTCTATTTGGTGACTTACCTTTATAATGTTTTACTTCCCATCACTTTAGATTGTTTACAGAGATGCATAGCCCTTACAAAGCTATAATTTTATAATCCAAATTTATACACACATACATATGTATACATACACACATCTATAGGCCAATAAGTAATGTGTATATGTACACATAATTTTTTTTCACACACACACACAATTTTTACAGCATTGCTTAATGTGAGATTATAGGCTCAAAGGACCCAGAGAGGATTCTCTGATCACTGAGGGTTTGTTTTTGTTTTTGTTTTTGTTTTGCGGAGACCTCATACTACAATAGCAGCAAAAACAATGTCAACAACCAAAATAACCATTAGGAAGAGATGGGTCAAAAAAATTGTGTTATTAATATATAGTGGAATATTTTTCATTCAGCTGTTATGTTTATGAGCAAAGAACATGAGAACATTTCACATTTTATACAAGTGCTCAGCATTTCTTGAATTTATATGTTTTATAATATTGGCATAATAATATATACAAGTTAAATGCTTTTTCTCATTTATCAATATCATCATGCCTATAAACCCTCTTAGAAAATGCATTTTAAGTGACTGCACAATATTTTATCATGTGTTAAAAAATTAAGAATAACTATAATACTACACATCATACTGGCCTCAAGATAAAATTACAGATAGTTTTTCCAGGGTTACTTCACTCTACCATGTTGATAAATGTTTGTTAGAGTAATTTTCTCTTAAGATTTACACGTCTGTCTTTATCCTTCCCTGACACCAGAAATATGGCTCACATGGAAGCAATTCTCTAATTATCTAAGGCTATTAAAGAAGATTCCATTGTGACTATCATGAAATAATTGTATTTGTATAAAATTTGTTTATAACTGTGCCCTTTCATACTGAGTATACCATTTGAAACTTAAAATAGCTCTATTACATTGGCATAAGCAAGCATTAATCTCATTTAGCAATGAAAATACTGACATCAGAGAAGTTAAGTGATTTACCCAAAGTTACCTGAATAATTAGCAGTGGAATCATGGCTTAATCTTCTGACACTAAATCCAGTCAGTGTCCTTTCACTATATCTTTGGTCTCCTGCGATGTTTTTCTGTAACAAATAAAAAACATCAATCAGATGACTTTCCATAAGAAGCACATGGCATTTCTTGACTATACATAACCAGTACCTATATACCAATGTAAAAACTTATTTTTGTTGCACTGCAGTTCTGTTTTGCTTTCTTCTTTTTAACTAAGTTTATTTAGCTGAACCTTAGGTAGACTGAAATTCTAGGAGGAATATTTCTCTATTGCCTCAGCCACCAGATTTTGAGGAGTGTTCTAGGTTCTCATTTTGCAACAGAATTGATAGAGCTTAACAGATGGCTAAATCTTAATTCTAAATTTCAATACAAGGAGTCATAGGAATCTAGGTTGACACTGGGACAACAGGCAACAGTGTCTGAGAACTTCATGGTGTAATGGCCCCAGAGCTTTCAACAGACATAAAAATCACTTTGGGGAGTATTAAAATGCAGAGTCCAAAGATCTATTTCTGATTGAGCACAACAATTTTGGGGAGATTTGGAATTAGAATCTTCATTTTAACAAGATCTCCACGTAATTTTAATGCAGGCACTCCGCTCTCACCATAAATCAGCAATGTTTTATGTTGGGCATGAGCAGAGCTGCCAAACAGGCCATTTTCTTTCTTTCCATCAACATTACTTCCTCTAGGTACTCACTGGCCTTGGATTAAGGAAATTGGCACTAAATCAGGGAGTCTCAGGAAAAGCTGCCACACTGTAACTTGCCGCAGGCAAAAAGATCAGCCCTCCATTTCTGGGAATTCTTAGTCATAAATCACATGTCATCAGCCATACCAACCCCTCAGTTCCATTTCCCTTCAGGTGAGACTGAGTCACTTCTCCAGAATGATGACAGCTATGGAAGATGGTAGAGAGAGAAATTTGTTACCAACATGGGAATAAGGATAGCTTGTCTCACATAATTTATTCAACATACATGCCTCTGGGTACCATTAGTTCAGAAAAATCATTAAATTATTCAGGCACCTGTCTAGATAAGGTCCTTTACCTCATATAAGATTCATTTCAGGTTTCTGATAGAGATAAGCACCTAATCCCCATCTCATTTTGAAATTAAGAAACAGCACCATGTGATGTTGCACCAAAATGACATGACAGAAAACTTTATCAACCTCAGTCTTCTGATAGCTGCAAAAATGTTCAGAACTGCAACATTTCCCCAAGCCCCTTCAAGTTTGCCTGCACCAGAATATCAGTCTCACCAGAGTGAGTATACATTCTGGCAGAGTATACATCAGTTTAGAAAATCTCTAACGCCACTCTACTACTACCACCACCATTAATTCCAGCTGCAACACTGCGAAATGATAGCTTGCATTTCCATACCCTCTTAAAATTTATTTTCGTACCAGTAATGTAAAAAGACCGTATTTAGATGTGGCCTTGATCCAGCTGTATGGGTGTGAGTCGTTAACGTATTGTTTCTGAATCTCATTTCCCTCATCTGTAAAATGAAGCTAGTAATTCTGATTTAATAAGGTGTTGGGAGTTTGTAATGTAATTTTAAAAGTAAGAAGGCACTCTCTAAACTAAAAAGCTGTTACAAACAAAATTATATCATCACTCTTCAGAAATCCAGGATGCCCAAGATGTTTTCCCTTTCATTTAAAACGTTATCCTGTATTTCTGTCTTATGACGATGTCCCAGTGTTTCAGGGTTTACAACAGAATGACTACTTTGTTAGGAACTCTAAGGTCCCCTTTTGTGCAAGGTAATGTTAGTGTGATACAGTAGCAAGTGCGTTGGATAATGTCAAAAATCTGTGGCTTATTCTCATGACTGTTATTAGTAATTTAAGTTCCATGAATTTTATTTTTCTCACCTGTGAAAATGAAAATCCGATCTATCTCAAAGATTTATTTTAGGACTTACATTTAGTATTTGTGACAGTGCTCATAAATCATTAAAAATGTACATAAAATTATCAAATTAAAATGAAGGGTGATTAAACATTATGATACTGGTTAAGTAGCCTCAGTCAAGCCTCTGGTATAATAATTTTCTCTATGTAGCTATGTGAAATTATTGTAATGTTGAAGTTTTAGGACCCAAATAAGTTTTAGGGGTGGTTTAGGGTCAAAATCAATAGCCTTTGAGTCATTCCAAGTCCACCTTTACATAGATCCATGCATATACATTCATCTTCTACTGAACCAAGAGTGTGGGTTTTTACTTCCTCCCATTTCGAAAGTCCAGTCCTCATCCTCTCTCTTCCTTGTTAATCTTCTATGTTGATAAATCTTTTTGCTTCCTAAGGTAATTTTTAGTGCGAACTTTTTGTCTTGAACCCCATGTACTTCTGCTTTCACAATTTGTATTAAAGAAGCTCATTTAGTTTTATAGTTTAGACTAACATACATTTATTAAGAGTGAAATATCAGCCAGACATTGTGCTTTATGAAGGTGACTCCTCAATTTATATCTTTAGTGTTTAAAGTTCTCTTCATTTCTAGCCTCACAATTTCAGCTCTCTACGATACATCTCCTAGAATTCCCATCAGCACTGATAATAATAATAAATAATAATATAAAACAACCCTTGTGGTGCCTAAACCCAAATCCTCTCCACATAAGCTTTTTTCACCTTGCATTCTTGTTACTGCATCTACAACTTTTCAGGTTATAAATGTATCTTTAATTGCATGGTTGCCAAATACTGACGATGTTTCTTTCATGATATTTCTCAGACGTATTTCCCTGACAACCACCGATTTTTTTACTGTCTCCATAGTTTTGCCTTCTCCAGAAAGCTGTAAAGCTAGCCTTTCAGACTGGTCTCTTTCACTTCGCAAAATGCATTTAAGGCATTTCCATGTCTTTTCATGGCTTGATGGCTCATGTGTTTTTAGTGCTGAATAATATTTCATTCTATGGAAGTAGTGCAGTGGTATCTTAGTTCCTTCCAAGTTTTGGCACTTATGAATAAAGCTGCTATCAACATTCATGGGCAGATTTTTGTGTGGACATGATTTTTCAATTTGTTTGGATACATACTAACCAGCATGATTGCTGGATCATAAGAGTCATCCCTCAGTCTCATAGGGGATTGGTTTCAGTACCCCTGCAGAACCCAAAATCTATGGATACTCAAGTTCCTTATATCAAATGGCATAAAATTGGCATACGACGTATACACATCCTCCTATATACTTTAAATCATCTCCAGATTACTTATAATATTTATTACAGAGCAAATGCTATGTAAGTAGTTGTTATACTGTATTATCTTTATTGTAGTGTTTTTGTTTTTCCAAATATTTCTAGTCTGCATTTGGTTGAATCTGCTGATGCAAAACCCTTGGATATTGAGGGCTTACTGTATTTAATTTTGTACGAAACTACCAAACTGTCAACCAGAGTATCTGTACCATTGACATCTCCATCAATAATAAATGAGTTATTGCTGCTTTACGTTCTTACCAGCACTTGTTGTTATTAGTGTTTGGGATTTAAACTGTTTTAACAAGTGTGTAGTGGTATCTCGTTATTTTAATTTCCTTTTATTTCCCCCAATTTGTCTTGTTTATTCCCACAAGGCAGCCAGGGGTGGGGGCGCCAAGCCGAGCCCAGCGGACCACGGGACCTTCCTCCGGCGGGGGTGCACGCCGGGTTTTCAGGTCTGCCCCACCATCAGCTGGTTTGCAGGCAGGCCGTCATGGGTGCCAGGTGGAAGGCTCCGGGGGCGAGGGCAGGGGCCTGGACAGGGCCACACACTTGTGGAGCTAGAAATAGCAGGGCAGGTCCTTCTCTATGACCTGCGGTTCCTCCATGGGTCCGCACCGCTTCACCACGCAGCCATTCTTGTCGATGAGGAACTTGGTGAAGTTCCACTACATGGCATTTCCCAGGAGGCCCTTGCCCTTGGGCTGGACCTTCACCCACTTCCACAGCGGGTGGGCGTCTTTCCCATTCATGCAGATCTTGCTGAACATGTTGAATTTGATGTTATAAGCAGAGGCGAACTCTTTGACCTCTTCGTTACTCCCCGGCTTCTGTTTCTTGAACTGGTTGCAGGGGAAGGCCAGGATCCGCAAACCACACTCAGAGTATGGGGCGTGCAGGTCGATAAGCTGAGCATAGTTCACTTCGGTTTTGCCTCATTGGGAGGCCACGTTGGTGACGATGCACGCGAAGCCCTGGTACTTGTCCAGGTTAACCGTGTGCCCGTCGATGTCCTTGGAGGAAAACTCGTGGGTGGAACGCGCACGGCGCCAGTCGTACCCGAACACACACATGGTGCCGGCCAGGCCCGGAGTGGCCAGAGCCCCACAGAGCAGCACCGGCTTCCCGTTATTTTAATTTTCTAATGGCATGTTATGCTTAGCATCTTTTAGTATTATTACATGCCTTTTATATATCTTCTTTGGTGATGTGACTGCTCATATATTATGATATTTTATTTGGGTTGTTTGTTTTCTTATCGTTGCGTTTGAACATGTCTTTCTATATACTGTATACCAGTCCTTTGGAGATATATCTTTTGCAAATAGTTCCCCTAAGTCTATGGCTTACAGTTTCATTCTCTGGCCATGTGTTTCACCGAGCTGTAGTTAATTTTAATAAAGTCCAACTTACCAATTTTTTTCTTTTATAGATTGTGGTTTTGGTGCTGTATCTAAAAAGTTACCACCAAACCAGATTTTCAACGTTGTTTTCCATGAGTTTCCCAGTCTTGCATTTTACATTTGGCTGTATGATCCATTCTGAGCTAATTTTTGTGAAAAGTATAAGGTCTGTGTCTAGATTCATTTTGTTTTGTGAGTGTCCAGTGTCACTTATTGAAAAGACTATTTTCACACATCCTATTGCCTTTGCTCCTTTGTCAAAAGTGAGTTGGCTATATTTGCACAGATTTATTTCTGTGCTCTTTATTCTGTTCTACTGACTTATTTATTTGTTTTGCCAATATTACACTGTCTTGAATACTGTAACATTATAGTAAGTCTTATAGTTAGGTAGTGCCAGCCCTTCAACTTTGTTTTTCTCTTTCAATATTGTGTTGAATTTGCTGAAAGATTCTTTTATCATGAATGTGTATTTGATTTTGTCCAATGCTTTTTCACCATTTATTGATAGGATAATATGATCTTTCCCTTTTTTAGTGTGTGTGCGTGTCTGTGTATAAGTGTGCATATATAAAGTGTGTGTATATATAAAGTGTATATATATGTGTATATATTCTTTAGTGTGTATATATATACAAAGTGTGTTATATATATATATATATATATATATATATATACACTAAAGAAGGGAAAGATCACATTATCCTATCAATAGTATGTGTGTGTGTGTGTGTGTGTGTATATATATATATATATATATACCAAAATAATCTACATTAGGTATTTCTCCTAATGCTATCCCTCCCCTAGCCCCCCACCCCTGAAAGACCCTGGTATGTGATATTCCCCTCCTTGTCTCCATGTGTTCTCATTGTTCAACTCCCACTCATGAGTGAGAACATGTGGTGTTTAGTTTTCTGTTCCTGTGTTAGTTTGCTGATAATGATGGTTTCCAGCTTCATCCATGTTCCCGCAAAAGGACATAAATGCATCCTTTTTTGTGGCTGCCTAGTATTCCATGGTATATATGTGCCACATTTACTTTCTCCAGTCTATCATTGATGGACATTTGGGTTGGTTCTAAGTCTTTGCCACTGTGAACAGTGGCATGTGCATGTGACTTTACAGTAAAATGATTTAGAATCCTTTGGGTATATATCCAGTAATGGGATTGTTGGGTCAAATGGTATTCCTAGTTCTAGATCCCTGAGGAATCACCACACTGTCTTCCAGAATGGTTGACCTAATTTACACTCCCACCAACAGTGTAAAAGTGTTCCTATTTCTCCACATTCTTTCCAGCATCTGTTGTTTCCTGACATTTTAATGATTATCATTCTAACTGGCATGAGATGGTATCTCATTAATGACCAGTGATGATGAGCTTATGTTTGTTGGCCACATAATACCTTCTTTGGAGAAGGGTCTGTTCATATCCTTTGCCCACTTTTTGATGAAGTTGTTTGTTTTTTCTTGTAAGTTTGTTTAAATTATTTGTAAATTCTGGATATTAGCCCTTTGTCAGATGGGTAGATTGCAAAAATTTTCTCCCATTCTGTAGGTTGCCTGTTCACTCTGATAATAATTTCTTTTGCTGTGCAGAAGCTCTTTAGGTTAATTAGATCCCATTCATCAATTTTGGTTTTGTTGCCATTGCTTTTGGTGTTTCAGTCATGAAGTCTTTGCCCACGCCTATGTCCTGAATTTTTTTTTTTTTTTTTTTGACAAGGTCTCATTCTGTCACCCAGGCTGGAATGCAGTGGTGAGATCACAGCTCACTGCAGCCTTGAACTCCTGGGCTCAAGAAACCCTCCCACCTCAGCCCCCAAATAACTGGCACTACAGGGGCATGTCACAATATCCAGCTAATTTTTTTTAACTTTTTTGTAGAGACAGGGTCTTCCTATGTTTCCCAGGCTTGTGGCCTGTTGATGTGGTGTATTAATTAATTTAGCGAATGCTGAAATAACCTAGAATACCTAAAATAAATCCCACTTGGTCATGAGGTATAATTATTTTTGTATGTTGTTGTATTTCATTTGCTAACAGTTTCTTGAGGATTTTTGCATCTATGTCCATGAGTGTCAACTACCTTGTGATTTATGAATTTTAAAATGTAGTTGTAACTGTGAAGAACTCAGGATGTTTAATTTGTCTTATCCCAGAATGTAGCAAGCTGTGTGGCATATAGGAAGATATTAATAAATGTTCATTCATTCAACTGATCAACTGAAAAAGTAACCACATGATAAGTAAGTGCCTATTTAGATCCCTCTCTGTGTATGAAACTGGGCTAATTAATGGCAACACATGGGTGAATCAAACTAAACGCTGTCTTTATGGATATAACCAGACACTACTTGAGACATGGTTAAATTAGAATTGTTGTAATTATATCTACTCTAAATCTGGAGCCACAGTCAATGTAAAAATTCGCCAAACAACAAGATCCTCTGTTTGAAAGCTAATTCTCTATATTGCAAAGCAAATTTTCAGTAGATAGTCAAGGTATTTAAATAGCACAGATTATAATTGGAACTACATCTATTATGCAAACAAAGGGGTTAAGATATAAAGTTTGTGGCCGGGCGCGGTGGCTCAAGCCTGTAATCCCAGCACTTTGGGAGGCCGAGATGGGTGGATCACGAGGTCGAGAGATCGAGACCATCCTGGTCAACATGGTGAAACCCCGTCTCAACTAAAAATACAAAAAATTAGCTGGGCACGGTGGTGCGTGCCTGTAATCCCAGCTACTCGGGAGGCTGAGGCAGGAGAATTGCCTGAACCCAGGGGGCGGAGGTTGCAGTGAGCCGAGATCGCGCCATTGCACTCCAGCCTGGGTAACAAGAGCGAAACTCCGTCTCAAAAAAAAAAAAAAGAAAAAAGAAATAAAGTTTGTGAGGCTGGTGGATATGGGACTTTAATTTTTTCTTAACTTTTTTTATCAGTCAGTTTAATTTAATTCTTTCCTCCCTGATCAATCTCCTTCCCCACCGACATTTACCTGAACCCCACAATAAACAATGAAGTGGATACTCAAAGTGCGAGTAAAGCACTGGTAGAAAGTGTTTGCAGTAACAAAGGCAGGTCAGATATGTGTTATTGGTTTTTCTATTCAAGTGCAATGCGAAACCTTGTCACAGGAATCTGAGGAACAGAGGCAGAAAACGTAATTCTTTACAAAATAAAAGGATATTGGGTGATCTCAGTCATCTATAAAGATATGTCTGCAGTCATTATGTCATTTATTGAACAAACGTTGACCAAGTTCTTAGTATGTGCCAGGTAGGCCTTATGGTAAGTACATTTGAGATGAATAAACCATGATCTCTATGCCTTCAAGAAACACACAGGCAATTAGGAAAGATAAGATATGCGCATAAGTATAACATAGTGCCTAGTGTAGTACAGGTGATCAATAAGTAATTATTGATATTTAATTTAATCAATTCAATAATTATTTATTGACCATGTATTACTTACCAAACCCTGTTCTAGGGGCTTGGGATAGACCATTGAACCAAACAGACAGACAAAATCCTTGTTCTCAAGTTGCTTCTGTTCTCAAAAGGAAAGAATTTAATGGTACTGAGAGAAAGAAGTTGCTAGAACTCAAATGAGAAATGCAGATGAAATGTTACCAGCATTCTATTGAAAGATGGAATGGTTACGGTGGATGGGGCAGGCCAAGGAATGTCATCCATGCATCACAGTTCCATTTTGTTTTGTTTTCTGTTCTCTTTTGGATATTCAGAAGAAATGTAATCCAAGAAAAAAGGGACAGATGAGTCACAGTCTCCAGTGAGCAAGTGGGTGTGCATGTGTCCTGGATCTTCAGGCACTTTGCTGTATCTATGTGCATTGTACATGTGGCTGGGGCACTAAGGAAGTTGGAGAGTTAGATGAATGCCTACAAACTTTAAGCTGCATGACTCTATAGCATGCAGAGGGAAACGAATGAAGATTGTTAAACAGAAGGATGATGTTATTCAAGGGATGTTTCTGGAAAGATGGATGTGGTAGTGTCATTGAGAACTAAAGAAAGGAATTGGAGGCAAAGGCATATTTAAGTTAATTTAAAACAGCAAAATAGGGTGCATATGGATCTGTTCTAGTCTCAGGACAGAAGCTGAAGTTTGAACCCACGGACTATGCATCAAAGTTTGTGCTCCTGAAGAAAGCCGCCAAAATACTAGAGAAGAATGTTCCCCAAAGGCATTGCTGGTCTTTCCATGTCTACCTTGATATTTATACATTTCCTGAGGAGAGTCTACTTTCTCTGTGGAATGATATTACATAATCACTCAGGAGTCTGACTTCAAGGCCCGCACAATCTATCAATTGCATCACACATGACACAACATCAGGGCTCAGAACAGTGTGTTAAGATGATGACTCTACCTCTGTGCTCACATTTGCCTCCAGGAAAAAGATGAGCACTCTTGTCTCCAAAATATCTAACTTCTTTTCATCTCAGCAGTTGTGGCTGCACCTTATGTCCTTATCACATTAAGCTGAAGAAATAAGAGCCAAGCAGAGGGAATGAGCGGAAGATACCACAGCCTTGCTTAGAGGGGTTAGTCTCAGGAGGGGAGAAAAATCATGAAAATTATTGGGGAGAAAGCAACACTGACAAAGAAGTGACAGACATATAAGTGTCTCCCAAGGGTGCCAAACAGGAACACAGCAGCCAGGGGAAGCTGGGAAATAAGAATAAA